CTGTAACTAGGAGAGCACACCTTTGCACACCTTTGGTGTGCAACATCAGTTGTGCCCATTCCTGGACTGGGAAGCCCTGTTCACTGTCACTCATTTATACTACTACAACACACTCTACATGGGGCTGTTCCTGAAGCACATTTGGAAACTTCAATTAATGCCGAATGCAACAGTACAGTAGTAATATATATGGCACACATTGACTGAAATGACTGGCTATACAAATCAAGTCAAGTCAATCAATACTTAAGGAAATATCATAACTGTGTTTGACAATCATCAAAAAGATCTAGAGCAGTGTTGGTGAACCTTTTTGGCACTGAGTGCCGAAACAGGAGCGTGTATGTGTGTATATCCGTGCTGGAAACTGGAAATAAAGCTGCCTGGTACTCAGCCTCTTCCAGTTTCTGGCATGCATGCACGTGTGAAGACCAGCTGACTGGTGCGCATGCTGGAAACTGGAAGAGCAGTCACCCAGTGCGCATGTGCACACCAGGAAGATGATCTTCCAGATTACAGCATGCACATGAGCAATGGCCAGCTGGTCTTTATGCACATATATGAGTCAGAAACTGGAAGCATCGGATGGCTGCTCTTCTGGTTTCTGGTGCTCCCACATACATTAAGGCCAGCTGGCTGGCACGCTGGAACCTGGAAGAGCAACGGGCAGGGGCTTGCATGCCCAGAGAGATGGCTCTGCATGCCACTTCTGGCACATGTGCCATAGGTTCACCACCATGGATCTAGAGTATTGTAAATATCCAAGAAAAGGCCAAAGTATTTGCTAAACAGCAGGTTCCACCCAAGCATTTTCTAGTGTGACAAATGCTACTTAATGTTTAGTGTCTAGTGTTAGAATGAATAATGATCTTTTATTCTTTCTTCAAAAACTTCAAAATGGCTTCGGGGAAGGCCAATTTTACTTCTATCCTGAGCATCCTTTTTTAATCTTTATGAGTAACTTTACATTCAAACCTTGGTGACTTTATCAAAAAGTGTCAGACAACTACAGCACAACTATAACCAGCACAAATTATGAAAAAGGCAATACTTACACGAATAACATCTCAGAAACAACCAACTAACTATTACAACCACATGGCATCACCATATATCACAAACTGAAGACCAACAAAATAAGCCAAAAGACCCACCTGTCCAAGAAGAAAATATAGGAGCCATCTATAACATATAGTATAAGGACTGTAACAGCCACTGTGTAGAACAGATAGAAGACTAGCAAAGTGCATCCATGAACACCAACTAGCAGTCAGAAGACATGATAAAAACTCCTTAATCTCATAAGACATGTGATGATTCAACCATAGTTTCAAATGGAAAGTTGAGCATCCTAGATCAAGCTAAATAAAAAAATATAGCAATAAACCACATTTACAAACAATTCAAAAAAGGCAATAAAACTAAGAAGAAAACCAAAAGACCTGAATGCCTCCTCTCCAACAACCAAATAAACAGGGATTAATATCACAAAAATAATTAAGCAGAAAACAATACCAAATCAAGGAACTACAAAGAAGAAAATCACACCCCCACCAAGGCTGATATGGCAAGCTACTGTATATAAAAAGAGAGACACTTCTCTAGCAGTGATGATGTTACCTAGTTGGGTCATGAAATATCTACAATCAAGCTCAAAGAGTGCCAACTACTTTAATGTTTGGTAGCTCAAGACTCACATTGTTATTAAGAAAATGGATATATTAAATAATTGAAAGTATTCCAAAGGTGCTTTTTTTCAAGAGGCAACTGAACTTTCAGAGCTGAAGAAGCTTCTTGGATGAGAAGTGAATTGTCTTTAAAGAAAAACCAGAAAGTCCAGTTGGTTGTTGGGAAAAAAAGCATGAGACAAACCATGACCTGGATGATTGAGACTCTACATAGACGTTTAGCTTTGCATAAAAAGTATTATTTCTATCTAGTCCATTCTAGGACAGTGAAGTCTCAGAAAATAGTATTAATCTTTCACATGAGATTTCTACAGTGGTCCCTCTGTGCATCCTGATTGATCTTGGCAATAAAAGGTGCATTTAGGCAGTATAACATCAACTGGCCAGCTTCCCCTATCAGATATATTACTTATCAGATGACATTTCACACTGTGTTGAAAAAGTGTTCACATTCAAAGCAGCTCTTTTGGCTGACCTTGCCTGAATGTTTGTGCTGACAGAATGTAGACAGATTGTCCAAATCTGATGGAGCTGCTGTTGCATGAATTTAAAAAGATAAACATTTTCACAGGCTATGATATCATCCTGGATAAACACTAGGTTTGCTAGAGGGGCAGATGAGATGCACACCATCTGAAAATCATCTCTTCTTTGATCTCTTAGTCCTCAATCCCCATTACTAACTGGGAATGCCAAGATTACACAATGGCTTATTTTTCAGGTGATGCGTGAAGTGTGTAAGTGCACAAAATGAGTTTAAGCATTGGCTCATGCCCCCTGTTTCAGGCACCCAAGTGTTTGAAATGTATATGTACTTGTCTATATATGATTTATATACTTAACACTCACTTTAAAAGCCATTGGTATAACCCCAGCACTTCCTGCAACAATTGTAATGTAAAGTATAATAAATTCATTCAAATTCCTTTTTGTTTCATGTGCATATGCATTATAGTAATGAATGTGAAAATATAAAAAATGATCATTTGTAGATAGATGTGCATGAATTTGGGTGACTTAGTTTAAAATAAGAGCCTTTCTAACTGATTTCTAGGGGCCGCTCAGTTTAATTGTTTAATTAAATTGTTTAATTCTCACATTATTGTAATTCATATAGTAATAGAGACACAGGAAGGTTATTAAAACCTGCCAGTTTCTTTTGTATGTCCAGTGTAATATATTTTTCTATGTCATTTTTGTAGCGTATCATTTTAGCTCAATTTTAAAAGTCTCAATCTCGTCAGGAAACACTTGTTTCCCTTCCATATCATCTTTTTAACACAATCTGTCTATAGAGATGGACACTTTTAAAATTAACTTCTGAGTCCATTGTTGAAAAATATCTTTCAGTATGTCCACTGTTTAATTTAATGACTTTATCTGGTATTTTGTAAATTAATTTGTAAATTAAGTTTCAGTGTTTTTCTCCTTCATCTGTAATATTTAGTTCTTCCTAGTTCTATCTAAATGTCCAATGTTTAAATCTTACTAGGTTTTTTTTTAAAAAAAGAATTCAAAACAAAAGGATTTTCCCCTGTAAGAATTCTTTATAATTAATTTCAAAATTTTGTTTCAAATTTATCTGGATCCTTAGTTGGCTTGTTGCTTTCTAAGATCAAAGTTTTAATCATCCTTTGAGCTCTAAGCTTTCCAGAGGCTGCTGTCTTGCAACCTCCTCATGAAAAGAAACTGTCTGGAGTACTTGTGGGCAATCTCTTGTCCAGAGATGAATTATTGAAGACCTGGTCCACTCAAACAGTGGAGCTGTTTTCAATCCACCATTTTCTCCCCAGAAGAGGAAAAAATGATTGAAATAAACTATTTATTTAAGATGTAAGTACTTTATATTTATGGGATGCCAGTAGAAGTGAAATCAACATATGTTAGCATGCAAATAGAGAAATGGAATTCCCATCTCCAGGCTATCTCATAGACATTATATGGAAGTCTATAGTTAAACAAATAAAATTGATAGTAGATTTGGCAAGATATAATTTTGGACAAAGGGAATTTTTAATTGATTATTTTGGGAGGGTTTACTGCAATCACACACTAAGCCTATCCTAGGGTATTTCTAACAACTGATTAAACTTCAGTTGTGTTGGATTGCAGATTATATTCACTAAATTAGTGGATCTACCTATAATATATTGAAACATAAGGAATTATTTGACAGTAAAAGACAAAATGCTGATATTCAGAATCAGTAACATCTTGGCAATCACTTTCAGAGCACCTTCTCAATTGAAGACAGAATATAACACTATATATACTCTTAGGTTGTAATCTTGAATGTATTTTTCTGGAGATGACTCATTGAATGTAATTTGATGGAACATATTTGCTGGAGGATTTTGTTCAATTTACATTTTAAAGCAATCAAGAACCATCTGATGTTCACTTTCCATAACAATGCATGGATTTGAATATATTTATCCCGTAGATGGCCACTTTGTAACCAGTGATTTAAAGGCAATAGGACACTTCTGATTATGACTCAAGACACATGAGATAGATGAAGCTGTCTATTCCTTTTTAGTTTACTAACTATTTTTCAAACTACTTGATTTATATTCAGTTTTTCTGTTTGTATTTGTACAATTTCTGCAGTACACTGTCTAAAATTCCCTGAGCTGTATGTAGTCCAGTATTTTGGGAATGTGTCATGTAAGGAAAGACGGTCAGGAGGCATTTGTTAAACAGAGGATAACATGATCATTTCCTTCATTAATTAAACATGCTTCTTCCTGGAAGCAACTGCTATTTCCCCCCTAGAAATAGATTTTCTTCTTTTTTTGGTTACAGGTTTTTTTCTGTCTGGACTTACAAATGGAGCAACATTAAGAGATGCAAGGGTATTTTGGCAGTCTACTCCACAAGTGGGGAATTTTTTTTTTTTTTAAAAAGCACATTTTAAGTGCTATTTTTTTCCTTGCCTCACCTTTCCTGGCAAAGAGGAATTTCAGGTAAAATGTTCTGTTTAAAATGCTGGTTGTCTACTTTTGCAAAGAATGGTCTTGTTTTTATTGCAGACAAGTATATGGACATTCTAGGCAGCATCCCTGGTTTGAATTCCAGTCTGTTTTATCCCCTGCTTCTATCTTTCAGCTACTGTGTTCATCTAGCCTGCATCATCCACTGCATACACTAAAAGGAGGAATGAGAATAAAACATGACGTTGTTACTTGGCAGAGAATGGAGTATAATGTTAAGGTATGACACAAAGCCTTTAATCTTAACAAGCTTCTAAATCATGCTCTCATCCAAATAAAATGGAACGGAATTGGGGAGGGGGGAAGAAAGGCTGCATACCTTTAAAATTAGGCCTGATTCTGGCATCGTATCCTGACGTCCTTCCCATCAATTTATCCAGGAAATCTGAAGGGGACATAAGTTTAGGAGCGGATCGAGCTGCTGCTCCAGTTTCTTTGGAAGCGGCGAGGCTGAGCCAAAAAGAAGAGAGCAAGCAAAGATTGAATTAGTAGCCCATCTACTCTTCTCAGAGTTATATCTTTTGCCCCATGCAGTAGGAATTGAGGCTAGCATTCTTTGTAGCTAAGACAATGCCTAGTACAAGTACTTGTGAATACCTCTGTGGATTGCAAATGATGTTCTGCAAATATTGGTTTGCTCACTCCAAACATGATTGAATGTACCGTAGATTGCTACATACGATTGAGCAAGGGAAAGCCCTTCACCAAATCAGAATTGTGAATTTTGGAGTCTTACTTTAGTGAAGAAACATCAAGACTGCCCATGCTCTGTTAAGGAGCATCTATTATCTTTTCTTTTAACCATCCCATAATCCCTGTGGGGTGGAATCTGGGCAACTGAATGGAGCTGAGTGTTTACTGGCTGGATGCCCTTCCTGTTGCCAATGCAGAGTTTTGTTCAGCAGATATATTCTCATGCCCAGAGAGAGAAATATCTGCCTCTATCTAGGATTGAGCTAACAGCCTCCTGATTGTGAGGCGAGAGCTCCACCTCTAGGCCACCACGTCATTCACGGAGCATCTATTATCATGTAATCAAATGGTAGATACCAAAGAAGAACAAAAATGATGGTGGTGTTTTCTTTTTCTAGGGTCAGGCTACTCCCTTTTTCACAGCATGGTGAAATTTCAGGGTGTGAAGATTTCTAGTATCTAAATGGATTATTTTTGAGAAAGAAGTTTGCTTGGTTTTCAAGGCATTTGAGATAATTGAAGGTCTCTATCTCTATCAAAAAAAGATTAAAAACAACATAATGAAGACATTTAGTTTCCAATTGTTTTGCATGTGCAATTGTAGAGTAAAAAAATACTCATGTCTAAATCCGGTAACAACCAGTGAATTTAGGAAGCTTGCAATATATAGGCTTGCTGAGCTTCTGTGCAGCATTGCAAGCTGTGGGCAGTTTGTGTCTACCCGCACACAGGTCCCATTGATACTTTTTAATGAACAAGGCTGTTAATTAAACAGGTAGAGAAAAGAACGGCTGCCTGGGTAGAGGACAAGAACTGGGAGACTTGCGTTCTTTTTAGTATCATGGTTCTGTGTTTCCTTTTCTAACCTGGCACCACCTTATATCTTTTCATCTCTGCTTCTCTCAGCTGGATACAGTTAGGTTTAGGATTAAGTCAGATTTGTTTTCAGGTATGGGTTTGGAGTTGGAAGGTCCAATTGGGAGATTACACGATCTTCAGAAATACGTGCAAAAGGAAGTAATGCAGGATGAATTGAGTTTCAAAATCTGAATGTCAACAGATTTTCCTCATCTATATTGCAACATTCGACAGCTTGGTGTTTTAATTGTGATGGCTATGTCCTTCTGATCTTACTTGACACTGAAACATAGGGATTGAAATGCAAGTGGCTGCTGTAGATTATTAATAAGAAGATTTCTCTCTCTCCCTCCCTCCCTCTCCCTCCCCCATCTCTCTGAAATGGCAGGAATTTTCTCATCCATGCAACATATCATCCTTTCATGATCTAACAGTCAAAATTGAAATGTTTTGTCATGGTACATTTGTATGAAAAATTGTACCATCTTTGTTTAGCAGTGAATAAACTGCAGTACTACTCTAACTTCAATTATTATCACTTAAATTAAGTAGGTAGTTTCTTACCACTTAAATTAAGTGGGTAGATTCAAGATGAGAAGAAGGAGGATGTTATCATCTGATTACCTATAGGGACCTCTTGTTTTAGTTGAGTCACACAACAAACTTCGCTTAACTCTGCACACAGCCAGGAGTTTGATCCTGACCAGCTTAAGGTTGACTCAGCCTTCCATCCTTCCAAAGTTGGTAAAATGAGGACCCAGATTGTTGGGGGCAATATGCTAAATCATTTAGAGAGGGCTGTAAAGCACTGTGTAGTCGTATATAAGTCTAAGTGCTATTGCTATTTGAACCTAATTTTCTAGGTCCCCCAAACTTCCTAAACCAGCCACAAGTATTTGAGGGGCTGAGTGTGATTTGGAATATCCTTTTATTATCATCAGAAAATCCTCATAATGATGCAACAGGTATTGGCATTGATTTGGGGAAGAGGGAGCTCTTAAAACATGGAGCAGTTTTCCCACTGGGAGTTTAAGGGGCAAAATAAATTCAAGGATATAGGCTTTCCCACCGCATATTTTTCCATAAAAAGGTGGGATGTTTTGATTCTGTCTGCTGCAGTACCATTCAAGTATCACAGGCCTTGCAATCATCACAAGCCAACAATAACAACAACAACAGCAACAACAAAATTATGTGACCTGGCCACCGGAAAGCCACTAAGTTAAAATAGCAATAGCAATAGCACTTAGACTTATATACGACTACACAGTGCTTTACAGCCCTCTCTAAATGATTTAGCATATTGC